CATACGGACCATGATGGATATAAATACTTCAAAATAAACATGGTATGATTGAATAAGTTCCAACCATGGAAAGAAATAAGAAACCACGATGGCAATCAACATTGTGCGCCAATGTCCCACGCGCCAGTCATAGTGGCACCCACCGGTGGGAGCTATTGTCATTAAAGGGTTAATAGTGGTATTCGCAATACACCCATGCCACAATATTGAAGTTTCGCATGATTAGATCGATTAGGAAAGAAGTTACGACTTAAAAGTACCAGTGAAGAAACATTTGACCGAATACTTTTAAGGCTACTGTGTAAGTAATTGAGGAACTCACCCTTCTTTCGAACCGAGTAGGTTATCGAGTAGATCGAAATGAAGCATATCAGCCTTATGGATTGGTTTTTATACCACTATCAGAAATCCTTATCTAAGATATCTTATCTCCATTGATAAGAATCACCTCTCTTATCTTCATTGATAAGATTCATTTTTCGTGATTCGCAGGTTTTAGCAGGTTGGGTGAGTGTTGTAGCTTATGATATTGGAATAGTTAGAAACGTGATCCTCAGTAGTGTCGAAAACATTGATGCACGATGGACATGATGTCATAGCAACTTACTAATCAAGACTTGTCCTCCTTAACGGGTGCTAACTTTGTAATTCCTTATTTTTGCAAGTTTTCCGGATGGGAGTATTTTTTTGTGAAGAATGACTTTTTTGTAAAGAATGTCTTTGCTTTGAGCAGTTGTAGCTGATGCAAGTGCAAGGAATTTGGAATATATAATCCCATTTTTAATTCAATGTACCTAAATTTCTGCCTTGTTTATATTCACGGTTGTTCTTGTGAATCATCTATTACAGTAATTATGAGTAAACATCCGTTCCTAGGGAAATGGTGTGGATCTTGTACCCAGGGTCTTGCCCACTCGATAACTTCGACGTCAGAGCGAATGGGAAGAAGAAATAAAAAGAAAGAGGGTTCGCAACTAATCTCAGGGTATTATATTCGAATTCGTTGTACGTCTCATCAGATCCCCCTTTAGTTCTCATACAAGATGTCGAAAAGATTCGCAATGGGCAGCTGAAACTCCTACATGATTGTTCCCGTTTACCATCGATCTCTTGCGCCAGATAAAATTCCCTATTCTGGCTCCCTGTCATTGTAAATGCAAAGGTCTGTTACCCATGGCTTGATAAGATATTTTGATCTAACACGCCACCTCTAAATCCACCCTTGCCTGGAAAATTAAGAGTGTCTTTTGAGCCACAAATCTCTGTCTGCTGCCTGATACCGCGATTAGTTTTGCCATCAACAGGCTAGAAGTTGATCTGCGGAAGACAGCTTTCTGTGGACTTTCTCTGTTTCATTGCGAAGATGCAACCATTGATTCTTCTGCACTTTAGAAATTCCTGATTTTCAAACATTTTCGCGTAAATGGTAACAGGATGATTTTATTCACTTGAAGTTCAAGAAATCAATCATTTCAAAACTGGTTGGGGCTCGTGACCTCCTTGGACTTATTATAGTTCTAACTCGCATTTACTTCACATACTTTCGAGTATAGGTTACTATACCCAACGCAATGTGACGACTTAGTTTCAACAATCAATCCCCCGTGAAGTAGAAAGTTATCTTTGTTTTCTGTGTGTTGACAAATATATAACTTCCTTTCCGAACGTAATGTGCCTTTACCAGCTGTGATTTACCGCAGGCGCAAGATAACTTCAAATTGAAGCGGGTTCATTCAGCGGAAAAGCCGCTCACACTACTTATCATTAGTTTTGCATATTTATCCATTCAAGTAGTTATTCGATTTTTGACCGGTCGCATCGGCCAGTTAGGACGAGGCTCCCCTCCTTTTTGTGGTTGAGACGGAGTTGACGCTTCACTTTTCAAAGCAGATTTTCTTACCAGAGCAGGAGGCGAACGCGGTAATAACTAATTGTATGCTATGCCTGGTATTTAGTATGTGGTAAAACTTACGTCTAAAACTGCGAATTCTCGACCTGCTACTGTCGATGTTTACAATAATCATGCGATGAAAGATTGATTTCTAGTTTTATTCTGTCAACTGAGGCACCGAAACTTCTTTTGCTAGACTAGAGCCTTAATTCATACTTATTGTAAGTAAGTTCTGGTCTGTAGATGGCGCCACTATAAGAACTTGCTATCGGTGACCCTTCTTATCCTCATGGATCTGAGCCAATGCTCGAGTCTACCAGATTATGGCGGTCGGAAAGGTTTTGTCGTGGCACCTATCGGAAAAGCAGTATAACTTTATGATGGAAGAGTTTCATCAGAGGAATAGTGCAGTCCACGTCGTTGTTAAGCGTACTCTTCCCCGTATGAACTTCCTTCACTGAAGGTTCTCGCCTTCAAGGATCTTTTGCAGGTTCGGGCGAGGCTGACATTGTGCGACCATACGTGGTGGGCCAAAGGTAAATCGCAGTCCGAAAGCCATTTTTCAGTAACGCCCGTGAGTTCAAGAGTTTTTTTGTGTTTTTTTTTGAGGGGGAATTTTCTTTACAAACAGTCTAAAGAAATTCTACCATAAAACCCTGGTACTGATCTCCAGCAATTTCTTTCGAATGGAAAATCCAGTATGAAAGTATTCTTAACACAGGGTGTCACAAAATTATTGGCGCCAAAATTCAGAAATTTCGAAGGCAGAAATAGTTCAAGGAATTCATATTACCTCTCATTAATTGGTTGCATAAGAGGTTTCCTTGCAATATGCATGGTTACTGATGTGAAACTTCCAATATCTCTCAGATGGAGGAGGCTCATTCAATGCCACTTGCAATCATTGACACGCGAGAGGTGGAAGGGCATCATGAAATTCCTTGGGATTTTTGTAATAACTGTATAGGAGGCTATTAAGCGATAGTGAAAGAATACTTGAATCAGAGACAAACCAGGAAAGGTAGAAAGGTAGAATGGTTCTATAGATAAAACTATTCAAATGGTCCGTCTACCAATCGGTCGGGATCCTGGGCGACCCATCAAAAGGAAGCCAACAGGCACGGCTTACAGGAGTTATCACGATGGAAGAATGTTACGCAGAAGCTTCACTGCCATTCCTACTGTGTGCAGAATTTTCGCTTTAATTCCGATTTCAACACCCACTGCAGTGCCAAAAATGCAGAAAGTCGCAGACCCACTTGATGACACGCAACCCTTCGTCGTTTCCTCTCGCCAAAAATTTTTTTTACGATCAGACCATCCCTCAACATTTAAAACGTTCGCGTTCCGAAAAGAAACATCTAGAGTGTAATATTTAACAAAAAGGTTGCTATAAGAACAGTGAAACGTTGTATTTCGAGAAAGTCACCAGCAAGGTAAGCCACTCGTGGTGAAAATTGACCAAGACCAGTGCAAAGAGCGTACTGATGGACGTAATAAAACCATGATCCTACTACGCTCCCTGAAACATTTTGTAGTCCTTCCAGCAGGACGCTACTCCACCCCACAGAGCCAAGCTTGCCCGCGAGTGGTGCCGACCAATGGTCATCCTATTTTCCAGAACTTGACTCGCTTGACTCCCACGAATGGTCACTGATTAGAAGAGGACTTGTCGAGTTTGCAGTCCCAGCTTGGAGTCCTAGATTGCAGAGGCTGAAGAATGGATGAGAAGAAATGGAGAAGTATACCTGCGTGTCACATGCGATCAAGCCGAGAGCAAACTTTGGGCTTCTATCCGCACTCATCGGGGATATTTTGAAATGACTGTAGCATGTTGTAGCACATAGTGTTAGCTAGAATGTGTAGAAATTCCTTCGTCTTTCGCAGTCGAAAAGTTTCAAATATATTGCTATAAATCGGCGCCAATAATTTTGGGACCCCTTTACTATGGAGGGCGACAAAGTTCCATCAATCAAGCCTACTGTGAGGAGTACAAAATTATTTTCGCGTGTCGACAAATATTTCTTCGTTTCTCGAGTAATTTTTCCAGGGATGCTGGTCTAGAGACGTCCATAAATTGAAATGATTCGAGAGGGATGTTTCTTGTGCAAATATGTTTGAAAAATTCAACCACAAAACACTGGTACTGCTCTCCTGCAGTTCTCTTGTACTGAAAATTCTGTAAGGAAATATACTTAACACTAAGAAAGACGGCTAACAATAAGTTTCAGTAATCAAACTCACTGTGAGAAGTACAGAACTCTTTTCGGTGTGTTGACAGATTTTCTTCTGCTTTTCGAGTAATTTTTCACGTTTGACGTGATAAGCGCTTCTGGCAGCTTCAATTGATTGCAGCGCAAAATAACTTCAGGTTGAAACGTGTTCATTTTGGGGACTGTGCCTATCACGCTGCTGAGCATTTGCTTCTCATACTTATTCACTTATAATCATCATCTATTTATCTATTCTTGCTGTGTACATGTTTTTGTTTACTTATAGCAACCAATATGCGACCATTATTTGAGGCATGATTCCTTCTCTAGCTCTTTTGTTTCTGTCGTTCTCATTTGCCCCTGCATTCTGCTACATTCTTTCGCGCGCGAGGTCCCTCTCGTCGCGAAGCGACCATACCGATACAATTGCATCACGCCCCACTATCACATGAGCCGCCACTACGATTCCGAATGGTTTTCAAATGCAGGACGCATACCAACGAAGAGAAGGGATCGGTCAACGCTTGAGGACTTCATCTTCACCGTTTCAGTAGAAATCCTCGTTGCTCTGACACAAATATTGTTAAGTTTACAGAGCAAGAATTCCTCTATAGCAGAGCTGTGCGCTGGAAAATTTCACTTCTGCAAAATATAAAAATTTATTTTGAACATTCTCATCAATCCAGCTGTCTTTAAAACACGGAATAGTGCGCTTAGCACTGATATGACTTACAGAATCAATTAAATTAAAGTGCAAGGAGATAGTTTCGTTTTGAGAAGCGACGCTTAATACGCAGTGGTACATCACGGGTAGTACTTTCGACAGCGAATCAAGAAGTAAATTTGTAAGTAGGTTGTAATAGGGGATTTTATTCTGACAGCTGAAGTTGGAAACTTCACTTCTTCTGAACTTCATGGTTTCGTCGAACGTGGCTATCATGAGCAGCATGAGATGCGAACGACTTCCCACAATATGCACACTGAAACGGTAAGATCGTTTTGGGAGGCAAATCGCAGAAGACCTTGGTGGAATTGAAGTATACTGAGCCTACCATAAACGGCTTCTCTCCACTATGTTGTCGCATGTGGGTACGAAGTATAGAAGACGCTGTAAATGCCTTCGGACAAAATGGGCATTTGTACGGCCGCTCGCCTGAGTGGACCCGCAAATGCTGCAAAGACAAGCGATTCCAGCCTTTCAATTCATAATTAGTCAGTATTCTATGAGCCACTAAGAGTAATGAATGTAAGGTCACGTTTTTACCATTCTGGCTGTAGAACTTCATATTAGTGCATGGATGGAGACACCTAGTATGACAAGTGACAGCGGTGTCTACAAACAACTTCTCCTGAGGCAACTCACTTGCCAAAATGAGCAAGTTAGGAACAAGGAAAGTGCCAATGTCCAGAGGTGTCTTGAGTATAAAACTTCTGAGCGTCGCCCGCCCTAATTGTAAGTTTGTGGCAGAACGATTCATACCTCCCTATTGGTGGATGTTTGAAATGTATGAGTTCGCACTAAGCGACCAATGAGGATTGCGTCCTGGGCCCGCCAGCTCCGCCTCAAAATAGATGCCTATCTGGGTAGAACATCAACTTTTGAGCTCGAGTCATGGCAGAAAATTTAAGATAAGGATAAGCAAAGGGTGCAATTTTTCTAGTGCTACTCGCCCCTAGTGAGAGTACTGGGCACCAAAAACTTCCTACAGTATGCTTAATCTACTGATATAAACCCTTCTGACGATCGATATGGCATCTTCTAGAAGAAGAGAACTTTCATGAGTTTCGTTATTGTGGACACAGCCAGACAAACTTATTTTATGCTAGCAGGACTTCGATGCTGTCAAAATATTAGAAAGTTCGTTTTTAAATTTGTAGTATGTCTACTGGCGGTATGCGTAATACTAGGTGGTACGAGAGTGTGCAGTAAGGTAGAATACGAAAAATCGAAGCGTGACGAGCAGCTGAATCAGTCTCACCGGAATGAAGCTGTAGTGGAAATTGCAGCAAAAATATGCCGCTTACCATAAACGGGCAATTCGCGCTCAGGCAAAAATGTTTTAAGAAATGGATTGGGTAGTTGCTCAGCATCACTATGTATTTCTACGCATCACTCTGCCTTTGAATGACATGTAAGTTATTGTTAGCAGATTTGTTTATTTTTAAATGACCGTCGCAGTATATGTAAGGGACCCCCAATGCGTCCATAGTGCGCTCGTAGCTAGTTGTCCCGCTTGAGGCATTTGTCAGCTGGATCGATGGTACTCTCCGCACACACCTCAACACTGTACTGAGTCTTTACGAATTTTGTAAAGGAGTAGTAAATATCTGATACCTTGTTAAGGCTGCTGGATTGACTGAATGCCTTGCCACAGACATTGCACAGATGCGGTCGATGATTTTCATGTACATGAAGGCAATGAATACGAAGTCGATCCTTTTTTTCAAATGATCTGAATAAACTTTATAGGTTCCTCAACATAATGGCTGGTAGATAGCTACCAAAGTGTGTTTACATATTCAGGTTATACACTATGAACACCCAACACATTCGATGTTTGTATTAGGGCGGTTTTGACAGTGGGTAGCAGCGGTGAGAGATGTCAAGAGCACTCGAAATTGACGAGTAGTACCGTAGGTGAAATGAACTCGAGGTCCACTTCTCATTTTAGAGAGCGAAGTTGAATTGAGCAGTTTGAGCTCGCTTAGGTCCACTGCGATTTAAATTTCTCATTTGAAAATGCTGGCAAAAGCAATAAAACTTATCCGTAAAGTGAGTGAGCTTTAGTTTATCTGGAAAGCACTTCACGATTTTTGTTTTTCATGTTTATTTACCTATAATAATTGAATATAGTTAATCTATTTTTTGTTTGTAGTGTTTCTCGCCAATTTCCTCAAGCGTATAGTCGGCTCACTTGGAAGGAGCTAATAGAAAACACGTTGCTCAGCGTCCAGACATTTTCCATTTGGCGAAAACTACCATCACTAATCTTATACTAGTTAGTACAAGACTTGCAAAACTTTGGGAAACCTTTAGCCTAAGCAGTGTGTCTAGTTCCCATTGATGTAAAAGGCTGAGGATATATGTCCCTCTTTAGGAAGCCTGTGGAAGAGGGAAGGGCCCACATTGTAGTAATTTGATATTTCTGGAACTCTTTTATTCTGTGATATTAGAAAAAAGCCATGTAAAGCGCTACTTCACAAGAAAAGTCTGGCAAAAGTGGCTGGTATTACAGGTAGTCTATATATGTATTATACCGTAAGAGGCGGAGCGATTACCTCGGACAGATTGGACACGGAAACTTCCTGTCGCCATTGTCAACACATCTTGTATATTTGAGATGTTTATCACGATAATATGAATAGCTGAAGACCTTTCCACAACGTTCACACGAAAAGCCGTCCGTATCGGCGGTAAGGGTTGGGACCAACTCTGAAAAACATACTTCATTCAGCTGATCGGATATGGTGTGATTTGAGCCTGGTGCTCCACATATGTAACGTTTTAACATCAATTATGTCACATCACCAGCTGTTTGACCTCTTTGTTGATGGGGGAACGATATTGTGTCTGCATCGGAGTGTATTAGATGTCTGTGTGGTCGTTCAGCCCGAAATTGGACATGTAATGAGCTCATCCCTATGTAGACCTCAGTGGATTACCACGCAGAAGCACTAGATAAATACGGTAGCCCGTCGTTGGAATTCTAACACATCATTAGCCCGAAAAAACTATTGCTGAGATGGAAATAAAAGCTGGTTGATTACAAAACCAGTTTTAAAGCTGTAAAATGAAGTTTTTGTAGAAAGTGGTATACCTGGAGATGGTTTCATATCAAGAGAAAGATCCATAGGTTCTTTCTTTTCTACATCGGTAGAGGTTGATGGTGTGGGGACCGTTTTGAGAATAATTTCATCTCCACATCGTATAGCACGTCGGACAATATCTCCCTCGACATTAGCACTTGAGCTATCCTCTCGAATCACGTGCCTCCACGATGCCGGCAACTGAAACGGCAATTTTGTGGTTCCTTTTCGATAGAGATGTGTAATCGATATATGGCCACAACATCTTGGAATTTTGATTACGTGACAATTGTGACGCTGCTCTCGTACTAGCCAGTTGGCAGTAATTGCAGTAATTATTTTGTTGGCATTGCTTTGGCTGACGGTTTTTATACCGAGCGACGACGGCGTTAGCTTGTGCTCTGGTAAATATGGTACCTTAACGACTCAAGGAAGCGATTCACCCCATGGTTACAGTAAGCACCGTTGATTGTAAATATCAGCGATCCGAATCAGCTCTATCCCTCTACTTGTCTTCATAACTCCTCCATAGGCGATCCGTTGAAGTTATTTTCTCGGACACGTACGTCTACGTTTTGATGTGTGCGGTTTATGAATTTGAGCTTTGGTTCAAATGGAATATCAAGTACAAAGACATAGACAAGAGAATAACATGTACAGCTAAGTTTCATTCTACTACTTTGCCAAACGCGTCAAATTAGGTGGGCCATCTTTTCAAAGTTCAAATTCAAGTCGAAGATGTGGTGGAACCGAAAAAGCTCCAGTCTTCCTCAGTCGAGAGCTTTAAAATTTCCGAGATTTTCCAAAACCAATTTTGAAAGTGTGTAGATTTGTTTCGAATTGGGCTCTCTATAGAGCCTTCATCATTACGAACGGTTCTGATGTGGTAGTAATTAAATAAGTTCTTCAGCAAGTTTCCAAACGTCCGCTGTTTGTTTGGTTGTCATCCAAACTCGTTGGAAAGCTATCTCATGGGAAGCGGGATCAGAAAATGTATGGATAAATCTTTATAAGGCATTTATAAGGCAATTACTGCTACAAAATTAGGGAATCGTAAAAAAAAAACTTGCTGGAACTCCCTTAGGCTTACTAGCTTCCTGCGTTTTCTGAAACCGCTTTTGAAGAACCGAAATTTTTCGAATAGTAATGTTTTACACAACTTCAGTCTAAAATACCCCGTAGCATGGAAGTACTCTATAGACATTGATTGAAAAGTGCCAGATAAATAAATAGTAAGGAAGCGGGAAAGAGTAACCAAGCTCAGAACTTTCTCTGGTTTATCCTCAGCTGAGTGGATGTATTAATCAGACCTTATATCAACCCAAGGCGTTGATTTTATTTGAAATTCGCTAGAAATGTGATCATACCTCTAAACGTGATCCTTTCGGGAAACCCTCTTCTTTGGTACACAGTATAACTGCAAACTCCGACGTACCGAATCGTATACTTATGAACATCAATCCAGGAACATGATCGTGAAGATCGGCTATATTGGGAGAAACTGGAACGAGTCGTTAGAAAAGATCCGAAAACTTTAAAGCGAGATAGGATTATTGTGTTCTAAGCACCCTCGAATTACTGGTCTGCACCAGAAAAGAAAGCTAAGAAAATAAGGTAAACTGAGCTAATTTTGAACAGAACTTAAAAATACTAAGAGCGATTAGAAAAGTAGCAATAAGATGGTCTTCAGGATTCATATGATCCCCATATATATATACCGTAATATTAAGAGAAGAAAAATCATATTCAAAAGACTTAGCAGCAAACCTGATGCATCAATAGGTTTCAGTAGAATTACTGTTGGTGGTTCCCGTTCAGGTCGACTGTTCACACTGATTTCCAGCTCAACGGGTGTAGACGTTATTGGGATAGAATTAGCTGAACATTTACTTTCATGGAAATAGTCTACTAGTGGTAACCAACTAGTATAGAGTACCGATAGTGACGGGATCCTTTGGAAACATGAGATGTCCCCATAATGGAAATGCAGCAAAACTGTATGGATTAGGCTGGAAGTTCATTCCAGACCGTATGGGGAACAATGAATCAAAAGTATGAGAAGTTAGTTGTTGCAGATATAAACTACCCATGAGACGGACGTCTAGCCTACCGTATGCCTTTGGGCGGGGCTGGCTCTCCCTCTTTGGAAGGAGGGATGCGGGCGGCGAAAATTGCTTTCGGGACTGCAGTCTTTCCCTTGTTACCACCAGTGTCATAGCTTACTAATTTAGTGACTTACCATTTTCTCAACCAGGAATGTATCTAATTTCGACATAATGGGGGTTTAGAGTTAGTTGAATCTAGAAGGGAAACGATCTGCAATATCGTCTTCTGGGAAAAGGCAAACACGCTGAACCACCAGACTATTTATAACAGCAGGGCTTTTTAAGGGCTCTCATTGGAATAAAAAAGACTCAGTGAAATAAAAGTAAAGTAAAGTTAGTACTAATACTAATAAGTTGATCTGTAGCTGCTTGCTACATCAAACTATGACATGGAGCCTGGAAATGTACCATGTCAACAACGATGGCCAAGGTGGTATCGAAACGCTCATTCCACCCTCTTGAGGGCTCTGATGCCGAGAAACCCATCCTCAATTAATGGTTTTACATTACTTCAATGCTTACCCACCAGTCTATCTTCATTTATACCTAACCTAACCTTTCGTCCACAAAATGCTGTTCACCCGATCGAATTGTTAACTTTTTCTCGAAAATGAAACACCATAGCGATAGGCTTCTCCTCGGATAAGGGTCTAAGTCTGTATTCATTTTCCTATAATGTCCGAATGAACAGTATACGGACCAAGTTTAATTAGCCTTTCCTTGCATATTCAAATTAAAATAATGGTGAGTCAATTCGATTAAGGCCGGCGTGTAATTACGTATAAAACGGCACTTAGCCCAGTTAGGTCAGCGAAAGCGTGCGTCTGCTTACTAACTGAACCATGCCATGAAAAGCTTGTTGGAAAATGGAAAACACATGCAAACTGAAAGGAATGGTGAAACCGCAGATATGACCTATTAGGGAACCAGTACATTCAGAACGGGAGTTTGATTGTAGGTGTTCTGCTCATTGGCCAGGTACATACCGTAATCCAATAGTCTAAAAGAAGTTCGTAAGAGCCTCTTTTAGAAGTTTTTCTTGCGCTTTATTACCTGGATTACTCGTCATTACTGAATAAAGAGGTATTTATTCAGGTTGTTTATCAGTTACTTCTCAATGATAATTAGAAAGGGATGGCGTGCTGGCACACTGGCATACGCATGGTCCAAGATCGAGTCCGGGTTAGTACTAGGCTAGGCCAACCAAATCTTGATCTTTAAAAGGGCTACCAATCGATACCAGAAACACCGCGATAGTGGTAGTGACACCGCCACATATACATAACGCCCAGTGCTCAAATGCCGTCTAGGCTAATTGGCTTTCCTCTCTTCCGAGGGTGATCTTTCATTCTAAAACTTGCTTGGGTGAGCGAGACTCTGGCTTGCACCCAAACAGTCCTGGAAGTCATCGTATAAGTTGAACCCATTCAATTGTTGCTGTGCATCTAAGTATGTACCGAATTCGTGGAGTATTTGGGAATAATATGGCTTACTGACATTGTCATCATACTGGACAACGATGGGCCCTAAACCGTGGGGAAACGCTCTACATGGTTTTACTAGAACAAAGCTATTTCCTTCTCCTCGATCCTCTAGGATTGTAACTGCACAGCCGCTGGAAGCACTTTATCATGCCCACTGATTAGTGAGACCATTTCTTAGCCAGCACTGCCCAGTAACCAATACTTTTTTAGAGTCCTCGACCAGCAGCTCAGCAGCAAGCGAAGGTGAGAACAAAGGAATTGCCGAAATATTCAAAAGTAGCTGGAAGGCTCGAGAAGCGACATGGCCGCTGCGACAGGAGTTTGCTTTACCTATGGATAGACAGACAGTCACGTTCAGCAAGCTTGACACCCTCACCCCCCCCCCCCCCCCCCCCCTTCCCAGGAACCCGAAACAGCCGGATTCCTTCCGAATACGTGGAAACCCCCCGTCGTGTCCTTTCGCTAGCTGATGCTCGACCTCCATGTGAAGAACATTTGCGAAATGCGGCTCTCTCGCTGAAGGGCTCCTGCCTCTCCGGTAGTATCATTTCAATACGGCGATCAGCTAGTATCACTATTCACTATGTAAACAGCGAAATCGGAAGGTGCGGCATTAGGCGCCCCTATATAACGTAAAAGAAGATTCCCGAATGTAGCAGAGTAGGAAACTTTGTTCAGGGGAGATCTTCCACTGGTAAAGAGAAACAGTAAATGAACTGGGAGGCTGTGTGCTATATTCTTTTGTTGTTTACAACTGAGAAGAAATAAAATCATGTCATCTCATCCGAGGACATTTGAAGAATCGTTCCTTAACGGCTCTTTAATAGGATACATCTCACACAGCACTTGTCAGCTTAGACTGCGGGAATCTACCTAATTCCTTGCTCTCACAGACTCTATTCTTTCTCCATGTGTCAGTACGCTTAAGAAGGACATTTCCCTGGAATAGCCGAACATTTTTTATGTGTCTGAGATGTATCTCAACCATGTGCCTCTCTTCCGCTAGTAGTGCGCGACCCAAATGCCTCATTACGACGTGCCCCTGCCTCGTTCTTGAATTCGCCCTCTCCTCAGTCATGCGAACTCGATCCCACTGCAAGTACGACCTACTCTTTCTAAATCAGCATTAGATGAGCAACACTACTCAAAGCAAAATTAAGCCTGAAATAGGATGTAACCGAACATTCCAGCCCGTATATATCTGTGTTTTGTCGTGTATGCCGCACGGGTTTTTTCCAAGAACAACGTTCTGAATTCAGGAAAATTTATAAGAGGGTATATTAGTGAGCGTGTAAGCGAAGAAAAGCTCGTTTCACTAACATGTTGTAAGATAGCGTTTTTCAAAATCCTGGTATAGGAAACTTCGCTCACGAGAGATCTTCTAGAGAGAAGGAACATGGGGTAAAGAGGAACAGTAAACGAACTGCATGGCTGTGTACTTCCAGTTTTTCGTTTTTTACACCTGAGAGCGAAATAGAAGTATGCCACCTAATTCGCGGACACTCAAAAAGCCATGCTTCTATGTATAATATCGAGTGGGCTGAACAAGACCATTTTCCGTTTCTCTTCCAAACGAAAAGACCTCACCGGGTCGAGCTCCAAGTTAGGAGCCAGTGACCATATTTCAATCCTTTTTTATTCACGTGTGAATGACATTATTTTCAAAAAAAAAAAGAAATACCTTCCTCGGTCTGAAAGTGTTCAGTTTTAGGTATATTTTCTATTTACTGAGATCGATTGACTTCGATGTGCAATGTTTGATGCTGCTGATTACAGAAGAACGATTCTGGTCCCGCGTCTGCTACCATCTAAGGCTTTGTCATTGATGAGATCAGTTCGTTAGCTCGGTATCGTGCTGTTAGATTCTCGCGTCAACATAATGAGCTCATCTAAAGAGACGCGTTATAACATCATGCCTGCCATCACAATGGGAGAAATAAGAACTTATGAAGCATAAGTAAAAAGATGACAACTATGCACGTTTACAGAAGGATTGCGTTCTCTAGGACCAAAAAATTTGAAGTTATTCTCATTTCAAACATTTAACAAGTAAATTGTTGACCTATGAAGTGAATTTTCAATCTCAAAAGGGCTTCATTGCCATAGTAAAGAGATTTGCTCTAAATCATGGTAAACCCGTGGACTACAGCAATTTTATTTGGTTCATCTGAACAAAAGAGTACTGAAGCGATGCTGCTTGCGCGAAGAGCTCTAATGGGGTCACGCGTGAATCGCCCGCCTGTCGCCGGGGCGACAAATCATTCTGGATTTTGGCAGCGTGACTGAGACTCTGGCATGTCCACAAACTGTCCGGATAAATAATCGTACATGCTAGTTTCATTCAAATGTTGACGTGAATTTTATTATGTAAAGAATATGTGGAGCATCTTGGACCTCTATTCTCTTCTCGCAATCAGATGTGGGGAAACAGGCATGGCGGAGTTTTTCGGTCACAGTTCCATTCACTATCATCATCTTTGTAAAACACCTACTTCTAATGCACGATTTTTGAAAACATTTCCTAGTGAAATATAAAAATCGTGTTCTTCCAGCCGGTCGCAACATCAGGAGCATACCTTTGAGAACATTTCTTTTTCAAAATCGCCTGTGCCGCTCGCGATAAGCAAACCACTGTTTCATACCGACGTGTTTTCATACACCTTTACCACTGATCCACGCGATCGCTCCTTTGAGGTTGAAAATTTCGTAGTTCCGTTGTCTGCAGTGGGAGGGTACGAATAGGCTGGTGAAACTGGGTATGATGGCGCTAACGAGTACGAAGAATGGGTTATCCAGGCAGCAGGGGACGATTCTGACGAGCAAGGTTGACGGGAGCGGGATTCTCTCCATAAGTCCTCAACACAATTATGCCCAATCATGGTGCATTTGACGACTATATCAAGACGAAGTGATTCTAGCGATGATCTGTGGTTTGTAAGTAATATGTGTAGTGGGTGGGGATCCCACACAGGGTCTATGTGCTCAATTCGAACCTCAAGTCCTTAAGATTCTAGTTGATAGGTTCGATAAATATACATTCAAGCGGAATTTTAAAGCACAGTTATGTTTGTCGTCGAGTTTTAGATCAGTAATAGAAGTAATCGAGGTAAAGTCACAAAGGAAACCCGAAATTTGAAGTATTCAGGAAAATATAAGGCTTTCAAGACCACATTCGAGGTTGTACGTCGGCCGATACCGTTTTAGAGCTCCTGTAACGTACAACGTCTCACGTGCTATCCTTGGGGGCCACATGGTAATGTTAGACTGCTTCCATAATCCACGATTCAGCCCTCGACCGCGCGAGCGAGCGACCGAGGCGGCGCTTGCCTCTTGATCGCAAATGAATCTTCGTCGATACCGCAGGACGAGTAGTCCCCCGGTCGCTCGCTCGCGCTCCCGCGGGCCGAATCGTGAACTATGAATGCAGCCTCAGGGTGAGATCCCAGAATCCTTTTTTCGTGAACTCTGTCCTCAAGTAATCACAATTAGATTGAAACGACCGCTCAGCGGCAAGAGCGACGAAGAAATATAGCAGGATAAAACAGAAGCATCGCAGCGAATAAGGAATACGGGAACAAAAGAAGTAACAGTCGAGACATGCCAGAAACATTAATCACATATCGATCGAGCTGTGTGAATAAGGACAGGACTGCAATAGCGGGCAACTAGTCAGCGACAGCCGTATGCGTCGGATCGGTTACACAAAAACGACTTAACTGCGGATCCCTTCTGTACATCTAAAAGTATGCTCTGGTGAAAGTTGTTTCATAGTGCTAGAAGCAAAATCGAACTAGTAAGCCAGTACTCGAAGTTACTATGCTGGCCACCGTGCCCTGTTTCAGATTTCTTTCGTTCATAGATTGATTTTGCCTACAACTTGCAAATTTACAAGGTTACATAAGTGCAGGGCAATTTCCAATTGCCCTCAGAAACTCTACAATGAGCGGACAGGATACCAAACTAAAACACCTGATAAACACTTCATAAATTCTATTAAATAAATGAACAGACTTATATAGATCACAATAATCACAAGTTTTCTATCAAATGGAACACGCAACTTGCGAAAGCAAATATCGACCCAGGTCAATAAACAAGCAATAGTCTATTTAGAAGTAAACCTTATACTTGTACACGAAAAGGAATAACCGTAACAAAAACATTCTGCTGCTTCAGCCCGCATTTAATCATTTCCGAGTGATTGAAGGTAATGAGACGTGCTTCTCGTTGTTGTTATTTCCATCAGCTCTACGTTCGACAGTAATCTGAAGGTGACCAGAGCTGCTATTCCCATGAGGTTCATCACAGAAGAGTGGGGCTCACCTTGACCGGTGAGATCGGTTCGCAAGATTTTGATCGAGCTTTATGATGTCGAACATGGCTCGGTAGCATGTAAATTTTCTTCTCGCTGAAATATAGAGATAGTTGTCGGAAGGAATGAAACAAAATAGTTCTCATAATCTGTCACGTGAGAGGGGACACCCTTGTCCGCGAGCCGCTGCGTCGCGGCAACGTGGTGGAGGTTTATGTTCCTCATTGGATATGTTTGCTGATCTTAACGGAATGTCAAACTGTTGACTCTGTAACAGGCGAAAAGCGTCTCTTGGAAAACTTCATATCGGACAATCATTCAAAAAGGAATTCAAGTAGCATCCCATCGATCTCCGGATGTAACCTGGACTCGAAAACAATTTAGCAACTTGAGCCCAGGGCAAGTAATAATGCCTTCTTCATCTCTCTAGACCGCTATAGCGAAATTAAAACCTTTACAAATTTGGAACACAACTTTTTCCATTAATGGGGACGAGTAGCGGTACTACAGCGTGCCTGATCCATGGTTTAAGTACCGTCTTAGTCGATGGAGCCCCTTACCGCTTCATAATAGTTTTATTAGTATCAGTATCAAATCAAATAAAAGTATTCATTTGTGATGGCTGCTGGTTACTATTCATTCACGAGGTGATTCTCATATCTTTGCGGTTGAGCTATTTTTTCAGTTTTAAAGTAATTCTACTTACTATCCGGATTTCGTTTCGACCTCTTCTCGACGTAGACGCTGGGATCTCACACCTCTATTTCGCAGAGCACTTGCACAAACATTCAACAAATCCTTTAGTGCAACTTGCAGAGAGGTCTCATCAGGATAACGACGTTTTGATACAATCGACAAGAATTCTAGGAAACCGTGAAAAGGCAGGCCTGAAATTACTGAAGTTTCTCTAATTCCTCATAACGCGGTGCCGGGTAAGTTAGCTAGCTCTGACGCCGAAACTTTGCAGGTTAGAGATCTAGGATATAGCACGTTTAAAAAATTTCGTCAATAATTGAATAGCTCTTGCCCATAAATTAAACGGTACTGGGTGAAGAGGCGTCACCACGGTCCGTTCATCGTAACTGGCCACAATGCGACCTTAGCTAGCCCTAATGCGACTGTAAGGGGACGATATGTCCGTGACGACTATCCAACGAAGTGACCCTGATGGCACTTCATGGCCAGTATCTCAAACATGCAAAAAAAAAGTCTGTAAATCCGTGATGTGATATACCTCTGTTGTTGTTTGCATCACCAGTATAATGATGGCTAATATCGGCAAATAGGCTTTCGAGTTCACCCGTATGGAAATATCGTTCGAGGCCACAATCTCTGGAAAGAAAAGCAGCCGCGTCGCGACCGCGCACGTTCAAAACAAAATGCACTGTACATTGAAAGTCATACAAGCCTACCTGACGAAACGACGCAAACTTGAAATACTGATGTTTTTTGACAAGCGAAGATTAGCGAACTGCATAAAAATGTAAACTGCTCTGTCTACGAATAGCAAATGTGATGCTTCCTGTCCATATCGATTCGGGAATATCTTTAAGAAGTGTTCGTTCAAAAATGATGATGTAGGCGAAATATTGAAGGTAGCAAATTGCATTACCTCACAAAGATGAGGTTTCTTTTGCGACTTCAAAGCAGTTAAATCGTCTGACGATCTTGAGCTGCCATGCGCTGAGGGACTGAAATATATCTCAAAAGAGATGGTACGACTATTTCTTAGAAGAGATGGAAAAGTTCTACAGGAAATTTAGAGCCAAGCACGAAAGTTCGCCTGGAACCTGATGTGTCAAAGGGCATCAAGTTCCAGGCGAATTTCAAGAGGTCAGAGCAAAGCAAATACAGCCCTGTGCGGTTGCGACGCAGCACCCTACTCATTCATTGTTGACAAGGATCCAATACTTTTACCACTGAAATTCCAGGTCATCCCCTTGCTTCGCCCGAGATTAGTACCATATAATCCTAATATCACAATTCAGCGCACCGCAACCACTCGCAGATGTCCTAGTTGTCTCTCCTTGCCATGAAATTCCATGTATAGACGTCTTTAAAATAATAATAAAGAACTCGAATGCTCGATGACACACCTTCTACGTCTGGGTGGCTCATGTAATTGACCGGTAACCAACAAGAGCGTGTCACGTACAAGCGGAAGCTTGATCAACTGAAACCAATAATATCATATCAATTTTATTGTCAAGAATTAAAAGTGATTTGGTGAATTCAAGTAATACCAACGAACTTCGTCTACAATACTCTTCATGCGAACTCCATCACTAGGACTGTGGTCAATCGTCAGTGAAGGAGCGGCGTTAACTTCGAGGAGGATTGGAGTGCCATCCTCACGGACAATTATGTCGAACCCGATGATCTGAATGTTTCTAATAAACATTAACAGATATTGCAACTATTTCTCTGTTGTTGTATTGACGAGTTATCGATTCTTAATTGACAGTTCTTGATAACTTTGGCGTATTCGGTTTGAGACAAAAAGGGGAAGTGACAGTCGAGAAAAGTGTAAGAGTAGTGTAAAAAGAACAAAGAGAAAGGCGAAAATCATAATTTCAGAAAGATAAGTTTTCAAAAAAGGTAGTAAATTAGGAGTTGGACGAGAATGTGACAAAAAAAAGTTGGTTGGAAGGAGTATTTGGAAGAGCTATTCGAATGTATGTGCCATTGCATATAGCTGGGGGAGGCGCGCGATTCACGCGTGACCCCATTAGAGCTCTTCGCGCACGCAGCATCGTTTCAGTACCTTTCTGTTGAGATGGACCAAATAAATTTGCAGTAGTCCACGGCTTCACCATGAATTAGAGCAAATCTCTTTACTATGGCAATGAAGCTCTTTTGAGATAAAGAATTCACCTCATAGGTCAACAATTTACTTGTCAACGTTCGAAATAAGGATAAATTCAAATTTTTAGATCCTGGAGAACGCAGTCCTTCTGTAAACGTGCATAGTTGGTCAATTTCTTACTTGTTTTACTTATAAGTTCTTAGTTCTTCCATTATGATGGTAGGCATAGTGTTTTAGCGCGTTTTGTCCGATGACCTCATTATATTGACGCGTGAATCGCACCACACCCATATAGCTGGCTACAGTAAGCCGCCTGCGTGTAATGTGTGACGTGGCGTGTAACGTGTATGGCACGAATGGCGCAGTCTACAACGCCGTGAGAACTCGTCCGCGGCTTGGTGTGTGTACGTTGGCTGTGCCGACATTTTGGCCATTCTCAACTCGTTTTCCGATTTTTCGATTTCGAACAGCATTCCAAAGGTTATACTTGAAGAAACAGGTTCACCCCAGGAGAAATCTCCGGAACTACTTCATCGTGAACTGTGCTCCTTAATTCCCTTGCGACGACAAAATTTTTCAGATAGCGTACAACAATGTAATAGGGAATACAAGGAAAAAATTGTTGATATAGAGAAAAAATTTGTTAGAACTATCCTGCCAACACCTAATGAAATTATCTTGATCATTCGGCAAAATCTGGAAATTATTGACTTGAACAACGATAACGGTGTTACCACTAGTAGTAAAAAACTTTGTAGAGCGTAGTAAGCTACTCGTACAAGCGATATTAGCAATCCCAAGCGAGAAAAAAAGCAGAACTGGCCATTCAAATCAGACCTGGAAACATTGTGGTCCAACCATCCCATTGAACTCGTATTCGTAGTTTATCATCAATTCTGGCAACATGGCGAGTACAGTTTTCACAATGATAATTTTGATGTTATGCCACAATCTTTTCGTTCGCAGACCACACTTGGCCATTTGCCCAAAAACTGTGGATAATAGGCGTTTACTACCTGGAAGAGCCGAAAATTTGGCAAAATGCGGAGAACATTACATACTGAAAGAGTAAAAAAAAACTAGTTATAAAAACCACAGCACCCTTGGAAACTTGATGAAAAACAAAATTCTCACCGCTGGCTTGATCCGTCAATGAAAGACTGTGAATATAGGATTGGTTGGCTTTATTCAATGAGTAATTGGTGAGGTGAGCGTAGAGGTTTTCAAAGTTAGACGGTGTCGGTTTTCGGTACTTTTCCGTGCAAAATCGGACCATCCCTAAAGTTCTATATGTCGTTATCGAAGTACATTAAAAATTTAATGACCTTGTGGAGCTTTGCGTGATTATTATTCTAAAATGAGAACAAGTGTACAGCAGAGCCGCGTACGGTCGCGATGCAGCAAAACGCGAAAAAAATGGGAGTCCGATGCAACCAGGTTTTCTGATTCCATTGAAAAATACCTAATACTAATGAGCCTTGCTCTGTTCGATTTCCTCTACAGTCCTCAAAAACTACACCCACTTCATCCCCTCGATGTGAAGGTTTTTTATTGCGGTCACCTAAGAAAGCCCTGAATAGTTAACATATGTCCACGGACCACATGCATGGCGCAATCCAGCAGGCGATTCACTGATATATTTTCTTCCCTTCCAAGTCATATTGCTGATGAAAACTACTGAAATATAAACGTGCCTTCCCTAGATACGTAGATCGAGAGCGGATTGATGCTCTTAATTACGCCATAGACTCGGAAATCAAACTTCAGTTGATCTTTCATAAGGAAGGGATCAGCGACATATTCCTATAATCTATTGGAATAATGCAGGAAAATTCAAAACACGTATAAAAAAGAGTAGCATGCTTGTAGTCCAAGTAGCAGAGGCAGTCAGCTTAAGAGCAAAGACCTCATTACAACTGTGAACAGAGCTTTCAAGGAGAACCGAAAGTTAGAAGCTAGTGAGGAGCTCACTGAGCCTCACAGAACAACCATCAGTGGCTAGACGTCTGAGGTCCGATCTTGAGGGGTCAGCTCTTACTACCACCATGATCACTTTCGAATTTAGCGAGACCCACCTGAACAAGTTGCTTTGCCGACACATCTCTGATCTGTTTGGGGTCGTTTATCAAGTAAATACCCGTTCCTTGAGCTCCTGAAAAAGCTAATTCGAAAAGTTGAACGCAAGCGCGCACTCAAAAATGAACATTTCAATTCATAAGATGAGAAGCGGCAAAGTAGCAAAAGCCGCCGCGCGCGGTCGCATCGCGGCGGTGCACCTAGCATCGCCTATAGATCGAGATGGACATTCATCGATTCGACCCATGCAGTCATGTTGGGAAAGATGCATTCCTTTCCACAATTCCTATACAACTCAGATTTGATTTACTCGGATAGTGTGATTCCTATACATTCCAAGATAAACGAAGAAAACGAAGGTCTTCGACGTTGAATATGAGTTCCCTAACACACATTATGATGCCATAATACAAATTATCTTTGAGTTTCTAAAAAAAGTAAAATAGATCTCGAAGTAATTCTAATAAAGTCAGAAATCCCAATGTAACTACACCGCATGCCATTCAAACGGTGCGACCCTCCGCAACGTCCAGATTTTCAAATCCCGCTTCCTGCTCTGCAGACAGTCGAGTTCATGCCGCCTCACACATTACAATTAATAAAATACAACCGATCAAGCAACATTCACCATCGTCTGGTTTCACGATGAAATACATTTCGCCCTGCAAGCCTTTCTGTCGTCGACGTGATAGCTCGGCGTGCCAAAATTCCTGAAACCATTGCCAGTTCTATGACTGCACCAGGAAATCACCATACTAGTTGCTGAAAAACGGATTTTGACACGCTTAGCTGCAAAAGCTGTTTCCCAGGCAACACCTACGATTTTCATTCAGACTACAAGTAAGTGACTCAACAAACTTTGCCATCTGGTAATTTTCAAACAATTACAGTAGTTTCCGAAAAGTTCCGTGGATAAGACCGAGTAATGTCGAAAACCATTGTAAGGAGCTCCCAGAAAACATCTTTCGGTACAGCAGATAAGATAGACTGCGATTTGAGCCCAAAGGGTGTATAGCAATCGTGTTATCGATCGATCCCACGTCGATCAACGGACCACGACCGCCTGCTTCCAGGCCACTTTGGGACAATACTCAAACACTCACATTCAGCTGATCGAAGTGAGCAGGAAGAAAGAAGGATGGCGGATAAAACTTGTAATCATCTGGAAAAACTTTTCGCATCGAATCGATGGCATGCGTGAGTGAGACTTTTTTCGAAAGGTCCGTCATTCCTGCAATTTCGTGAGTTTGCATCACTCACCACATAATAACACGCTTTCGCACCCAGCAATTGAGTACATTACTTTTTTGGGTGCGACCAGGGTCCAATAATAGGCTAGCTCAACTGCCGGGTAGTATCAAGGACTATTTTGTTTCGATTGGCCCCTACTGATGTCAACGTACCTGGAAACTTGTTGACTCGGCAACGAGATGACTTCACTATACTTTTCATATCCGGTGGGACCGTACTATGCCAATAAATATCGCATGGTTGATTGTCGTCACGACCATTTGGGTACTGGAATCACTAGTTGGACAAAAGAAAGAGGCTTGTGAGTCACAATAACCAAGAATCTTGGAATGACCGCATTAGATGCGAGCGGCTGCGTTGCAGCAAAGCAGAGCTAGTCGATAAGCAACACTGCGCTAACAAAAATGTAGCATGAGTTTCTGAGGAGGCCTGCTTCCACTGGACTACAAACCTGGCACATAATGCTTACCTCAAGAATTCCTACTAAAGCTGAGCAAAGCGAGACCACGGCTTTGTTGGTATTACTGCGAGATGTGTCAATCGTATAACAGGGTGCACGGCTACGGCGAGGAATAGGAGGAGGACCACTAAATTAGACAATTCAGCAACATAATTAGGTAAAACTATATGATGTAGAGCAGAGGAGAAAAATGCGCTGTTATGAAGCTCATAGTTCGAGCCACACACAATCGTTTCGTTCATCATCGTATGGCAGGGTAAACAAACGATTTGTTTACTGTTTATTCCTTACAAGTTACTGCTAAGATGAAATACGCATTCAAGTGGGATACATTCCTGAATGGAATGTAAATGAGTTGCACACTACAAAAAAGGGACGCTCCAATTTCTTTTGGGAGGAGTTGTAGATTACTCACTGTTTACTCCGTATATACTGGCGTGACGATACCATCAGCGATGGCTTCATCTTATAGCTATCGTATGCATTAATGTAGTAAGTAGTTTCTCCAACAGAGGCAGTGATCAAGCTCACTAGGAATACGCCACGTACTCTACTGCTACCGTCAATCAAGAAGGGATCTGAATGCGTATAGGGCCTGTAAACGACCCGGATGAATAGCCATTTCAAGGTTAACGTTCCTGCCTATTAGATAGATACCTTCCACCCTGCCGACCAGACAATGGGTGGATTCCGTAGTTTCAAGTGGGATTCGATCCACGACCCTCCCATTTGGTAATCTCTTTTTGTTTCAAAGCTAAATCCTCGGCCTTCGCCAGGACTTACTGTTATTACTACACAAGTACTGAGGAGAGATAGAGGTCACTATACTCATCTTCCGTGTAGGAAGTGTCTTTCGGAGAAAACTTGAAATTTTCTCCTGAACAACGAACTAATGTAATCGCTCTTGACGACGAAATGGCTAACAATGACATATTTTACTTGGTGACGAAGAGTAAAGGGAGTAGTCACAAGTAATATTTCCTGTTTCAATAAGTTCATCCCGCCACGGAAGCTTACATGAGCTCGGAAACTGAAGATGTAATGAGCAAATAACTTTATGAGCAGAGTTTGATTTCGCTGGAGTACACATACATCAAGGTATTACACTGAAGACGTCTAGAGCAACAAATTAAAAAAAATTAAACTTACTCGTTGCATAAACTTGGTAGTACACTCATAACAGAGGCTAACGATGACGGACTAGAGATCCGTTGCCGTGGTGACTGAAATATCCACAATTCGTTTCACAGTTAACTTTTTTATGTATCTCTTGACAACTGATTTGTTCAATCAAATAGTGTTATAGGTAGTAGTAAAGTCATTAGTCGTCGTAAAGGAACCCAATGGGATAAAGCCAAAAGCTTAGGAAGAATGGTCATTACACACGGAAATCCAACATAAGTTATTCTCGATTTAATTTTTGAATTACGGCATCGAAGGGAGCATCTGTGGCGGTAGAGGGAGAATAAAAGTAAAAAAAAGTAAGGATGACTTCAAAAGACGCAGAATACATGAATACAAGTTAGCAAAAGCGACGGCAACTAGTAAAAGCATAGACGATGTTGATGTCTGGGGGCGCGGCCGATGATCAAGATGACGGCATAGAAGAGCATAATAAGACGTTAAACCGAAACACAGAACACAACTGCATAAATCGAGTGGGACACCGAAGGACGTGCTCTTTTTGAGATCGGGTGAGTGCATCCGCCAGCCTTTAACAACTCTTAAAAAATTAATTACAAAAATACGCGTGGAACTAGTTATGTCGCATACCAAATGGAAGTGGTTAAGAGGAAAAGTACTTCCAGGGAAGTAGAAATGGAAAACGGAAACGCTACAGCTTTCAACGAATTAGCCTCCTCATTCTACATAGAGAAAACTAGCAGGCAAACGAAAACGACTACTCTTTACCCAAAGAGTATATTTGCTAGAGGAAGGAAGGCCTTGTGGCAACAGGCGCCGCTGCCGGGCACAAAGGCAATGGATGCGATCTTAACAACGCTCATGAAGACCTCCACGCTTTAAGCGACATCTAATTACCAGTGTGCTGATTACTAGTATGAAGTCGCTAATGGAGACTTTGCTATTTCCTTGAACTTCCGATGAATACTTGTATTCAATTGCCTTTACGGTACATGACCGTAATTAAATATGAGTCGTATTACAAAAACTTGGGCAATGCCGATTTTCGATTTTAAGATCAGGTCAGTCGAGACAAGGTCGATGATGAAAAACCCAGCCGCGCATCATCAAAAAACAGATTTTGGAGGGGTAAATGAAATTGCCGCCGCCTCCTAAACTCAGTACTCTAACTCCTCAAAAATCAGTACCAGTAATTAGGTGGCAGTACAAAGAAAATAAACTTGACTCGTTAGAAGATGGCCACGATCGGTATATTCATAGAACGAATCATCATACCGAGAAACATAAAACGCTGATGACTCTACTGATTACTGGGTGCAACGTCGACGTGACAGCAGCCTGGGAACGGAGACTGAGAAAGGAGGCCATCAAGAGGAGGAACGACTTGAGCATGAAACCACCTCCTCCAGCCCTCAAGCCCACCCCGCTGCCACTCTCATAACAGTGCCGACATAAATTGTATTCAACATCCATTACTTGCAGGCGGGCGCTTTCAATTTCCTGAACTAGGTAAGTAACAATGCAAAATTACTGCTTAGCGCTTTTCATAGAAACGGGGATTCTGGAATATGGGATTGACTAATGTGGTTACACACAGCCTTTAACACATCGTACCAACTGTTTCATTTGGTCAAGATCTATCAACACTCAGGAGTCGTGTAATGATTTTGCGAAGCTGTTTTGGGGGAAAATGCGGACCTGCATGTCTGCTTAAGAAGCAGGCCCATATAGGGGCTGTGAATGCATGTTCCCACATTTTTTTAACTACAATGGAGTGACATGCCCCGTAAGGAGTTAATTGAGATAGATTGTTTTATAGATCATTATCCTCACTCTGAGTTCCACTACTTTTACCAGTTCTACCCCGATAGATCAACGACAAAAGAAAAGTTCCCCATAAATAGGAGTTTTCTTTTCAATAACATTACATCGGAAAGTGCCCTCAGCAAGTAATACGAGAAAACGAGTAAATAATAATAATTTTCAAGAATAGCAAAGTTGAAACATTTTTTCCACTCAACAGTGTTAGAATTTTCGAAGCAGCGGCATGGCCTCAATTTCCAGTCAAAAACTTCCGATTACAGCTTTATTCTTCTTGTACTATCTTTCTGGAAGTACTCACTACTTGAAACTATGTATTATAGATAACGAATAATTACTCTACAAGCCAGCTGGCTCAGCCAGGTAGAGGTGGATGGCTAGGTAGATGGGTGTAGAAAAGGGTATAAAATAGAATAAGTACAACACGAATTTGGTAGAGTAACTATTAGAAAGTGAGTTCAGAAATGCAGAAATGGGATGAGAAGAGGTAGGATCTTCTAAACGAACGGCTCAAACCCATCTCCTGAACACATAGATGATCCAAGCAGCTGCAGACTTTTCCGGAAAACACTGAGTGAACTTGACTCTCACTACTTAGCCGGAAATTTCTGCTTTTGAGCAATAACATTTTTCCAACTCGACTGAAAAATTTCAAACTGCATAGATACAAATACAGCATAACAAAGGCCTTATTGGAACCAGGAGCAGACTCATTGAGAACAGAACTAGCTGAAAAGTTCCCTGGACTGTGAAGAGGAACTTGTAGATCTCACAGTGAGAAATAGCTGATTTGCAGAAAATCGAAAATCGGAATATTTGCGTCGAAATTGGGAAATGATTCTGATTATTCCCCACAAACACCTTACACAGACACAACGCTTATCCAACAGTTTAGTAAAATTACTCAAATTTTCTATGAGGTTGACGTAATCAGGAAAAGCAACGCAATGTTTACGGAAATGAAAAGAAATTCATTCCCATAGTAATAAGAATTGTATTCAAAACTTCTGCCGACAATCACAACGTCTTATACATTCATGGGCGTTCTGTGTATTGGTAATTCTATAACTCTCATCTGTTCCGTTCTTGATAATCGCCGATATGTTACCAAATGCGATTTACCTGTCTACGCCATATTCTAGTTATAGGAAGAAAAATAATAGAAGCCATAAGCCAGAAGTCATGAAAAACGTGAGCTGTCCCAGAAAAAGGTAGAAAATTTGCAAAATGAAGCGAGAGTTGAGATTGTTTGGAGAGGCCAGAGCATGTCAAAAGCGTATATTAACCAAAAAGATGCTCAGAAAATGCTCACTTCAAATCATTACATAGAAAACTAGTAGAAAATCAATAAGAGCCTTTGAAATCGGCACACACACGCATCTGAACAAAATTGCGATTTCTGCGTTTAATGCTGAAATGAACGACGACACGATTTTCATGGGTACTGGCAACAATCGCCAATTACCTCTATTCCATACAGCTGAAGCTATGAAAACCACCTGTTTTCGATGTAGAACGAGACTTTCTGAGATCCATTGGATCAGTGTATGAAATAGATTCAACTGAATCTAAAAGGGCGAACAGCTTCCAGGGGTGGCCTCAAAAGGACAATATATTTGAGTGAAAGGATCATTCGCTTATATTGGTACTGAGCCGAGCCTAACCGAAGACCCCCTGAAAGATCAGAATTGACGAGCTCTGCCACTGAGAGCATTTCTTCTTCTTCTCTCTGCTTTCCCTACAGGTTAGACCTGCAAGTACCGGGGAGTAAGGTTCACGCAACGAAGAACAGCGTACAGTAGCACTGCACCGTGACTGTCGTTATCGTATCCTTACCTAATAAGTTGAACACCCCAGCTCTTGAAAGTCATGGTTGAAGGACAAAAATTGCATTCAAAACGCCCTGGATTACTCCAGCGTATTTTGTGGAATAAGATCAAGTCGTATTCTCCGCCAGCAAAAGATAGAGCCTGAAAGGAGGCGGCACGTTAGGAAAGTAAGTACTCTGGTAAACAAAGAGTAACCGCTGTCAAAATAATTTCAGAGCGTCTTGCAAATTGACAAATCTTAAATGTCTAAAAACAGAACCGAGCACTGACTAGGTGATTTGGGAGCGTCCGTCCGAACCAGATCGCCCCACCCTTTTCGCGCGC